GAAAGTTTTGGAACGTAGCCTTAAGAATCCTCGTTTCGTGACTAACTACAACGAAAATCGTAACGCGCTGGAATAATACTTGCATAAACTCGGCCCCTTTCGCGGTCTTCTAATTATATTTATCAGAGGAGATTTGATATGAAGGAATTATTTATTTAAGAATATTTATTTAAAAATTAGCTGCGTCCAATGGAAAAAGCTGCTTTACAACTGTTGTAAAATTTTTATCACATTGTACATTTAGATTCAGTGAGAAATTAAGGGCAAGACTCATATTAAAGAATTTTACAATAGTTGCAAAGCTGCTTTATCTACTGAACGCAGCCAATGTCTAAACAAATATTGTCGCAATAATTTCTTCATGTTAAATCTTTTTCGATAACATTTAAAATATTATTGAGTTGTCAGAAAAATTCTAAATCACCCTTAAAAATTGTTTTTATAAATATAGGAATTTATTCAGGACAACTGTTAATTCGTCGTTTTCTGGGTGATTTAGAACCTTTTTGACTCTCTCTCATTAATTGTTATTTTAATTGTTATTTTAATATATTACTTGAAGCAATCTTCGCAAATAACATAAAATATTTTTTAAGAATGCTAGAATTAAGAAAAATCTTTTAATAACATCTCGGAGATAATGAATTGCATCAACGAGAGCATGACTCCGTATTAATACAAAATTGGAATAACGAGAATAAATAAACTAATGCGATCTTCAAAATGTATCGAGCCATGTTGTTTATGGCTGTAACATCGGAAGCCCGATATAAAATGCGAAATAGATTTCTCGTTCGTAGTCGCTTATTTTCCGTTCACTATCCAGTAGTTTCAGTACCACAAGTCTCGCAAGTTCTTCAAACCAACAACATCCAATGGCGCAAAGAGGCACACACGACGCTCGACGTTCATCGTCCATGGAAATTTTAACACGCCCGCGTCCTTTTCGCGCGTGTGCGTGCATACGTGTGTATATATGTGTGTGTGTGTGGGCATTCAGTGTGGGTGGTGAGAGACCGTGGGCCGTGTAAAGAAGCGACTCGTAGTCCTCGATACCGATCGATTTGACTCTCTCCGTGTTGCACGTCTCTTTTTTATCATTATTTCAAAGCGAATTTATTCGAGGCTGAAAGACGTTGCAGCGAGCTTCCATCACGAATAAAAAAAAAGTGCATTTTAGTCATACGTTTTTTGTAGGCAATATTGCGCTTCGCAAAAATCGGATATTACGGAAAAGAGACAGCGATAGAGCGTTTATTACTATTACTGTTATTATTTTACGAGTTATTATTTTAAGGGCTATGTCTTCTGAGAACAAACAAATTGAAACAAAATGATATAAAAGAGAACAAAGAAAATTTCTAAAAATTAAAGGAAATCAATTACAAAGAAGAGAGAGAGAGAAGGAGAGAAGCGACCGTAAATCCGCCAGACCCCATTAAAGGAGCGTGGTTTGTTTTCCTCTTGTTGTATATTTGGCTCGTTACATGAAAGCAACACATGCTGCAGTAAAGAATTAATTGGCGTTTCTTTCTGTAAATGCAGTTAAAAGCTGTGAAGAGTATATATATAATTGAATTAACCTTGCCGTTTTTGTCGCACCCGCATGTCAAGGATATTTTTTTTTCCACACGTTCCGCACCGATCTCATTCTGAAATTAGAAGCGACTTGATTCACCGGTGCGAGAATGATTCGTTTCTTTTTTGCAATCCTCTGTTGAGATCGTCTAGCATAACACCGCATCTCTATTAATGTCGTCCCATTACCCCCGGGAATAATTAACAGTGTTTCATGTAATAATAATGCAGTTTTGAAAGCGGCCACTTCTGTGTAACACACGATAAAACATGTTCTATAAACGACAATATAACAAACAATTTGCGTATCGCGACTGTATCGCTCTTTCCACCAATCGATCCTTTATAATTCGAAAATGATCTGCACCGCGGTCATCGACCATTATGTCGGCGGGGTCGCGCGGGCAGAGGCGTTAATTGCGCATCTAGCATAATGAAACCGCGAGAATGAAATGCGAGAGTAGTTTTTAACTATACACACGAGCACACCATTTATCGCGTATCGCAGTCTGACTTCTAATACCGATGACCACTTCGTGATTAACTGAGCTCGACAAAAATTCCAGGGTTTCACCGTATGTCATTTCCGTGCTTTGCAAAAGTTACATTAGCGTAGTTAACTCAAATTCATAACGTAACGTTCGTTGCACCGTAAATTAACGGGGGCGTTTCAGAGATGGTTATTAATCGTACTCCTATATTGGAAGTTTAGAATATCAAGTGATATAGAATTCAATGTGTGGGCGTTTCAATAACGATGATAATATGTATAATAATAGTTAATGTATTAATAATGGCGATATTGGACACACGTGAATTTTTAACTGTATGCATTGATCGTTACCGTGTATTAATTTCATGTGAGATTTCCAATTATAGCGATAGAAATAATACTAAGGTCCATGAAAATTTAGGCTCTGCGTTGCACCGTAAATTAATGGATGGAGGCATTTCCAAAACTGGGGAAATTAATTTGTGCTCGCGGAAATTTATACATATATAACTCGAACGTGGGCGGTTCTGATGACGACATTAGCGATATTAACTCACGAAAATTTAGGGTTGCGGCTTTGTCATTCGAGGCGTGTCTTCCGCGTGCAATAAATAATCTACCCGCGTACACGCAGTCGATACTATCGACTTCCTTTATTTCATTACGAGCATAAAATCCATTCTCTCGGTTTTATTACTCAGCTTTTATTTACTTCAGCTGTGCGTAGGGCGTACGGTTAATTTTTTCCGATATTCCGTTGCGTCGCCATTTAAATCTGCTCCGGCCATTTAAAAGTGTCATTTAAATCAGTCACGAGGCAAAAGTGATCGTCATCGCATTAATATCTCGTTTATGCCTGGAGGTGTCACGCCCGTTTCACGCACGCGGCCATGCGTACATGCAACTTATTATATCGACGCGTATGCCGTATCGTTGTAAACAGGCCTTTTGTTGAGAGAAAAAAAAAGAATACGTTTAAATTAAAAGCACTCGATATCGATTTTCAATCGCTTTCGAGAACATCCGCTATTTGATATTCTTTATTTTCACATCTCGCCTATAGTTCTTTATACAGACGCACAATTATATTTTTTAAAAGGTGTATTTGTGAAAGATTGTCGTAGAGTCTCTCTTAAATTATCAATATTTAATGCGATATATTTAGATTATTTCATTTTATTGCACAGGATATCAAAAAATCATCAGATGAATATTTGAGTGATGCCATTTTTAATATAGAATACTCGTAAATGTTTTCTTAGTGAAAATGTTCTGGAACAATTTCAAAATTTTCCATGATTTTTTTACATACATTTCTTAAAAGAAAACATTTATTTTAAGTTGAAGACACGTGAGAATGAAAAATTCTATGTAACGTCCAGTTATTAGCGTGGATTACGGACATAATTATGGTGCAGTTCGCAATGTGTGTACCGAATGACTTATATGTCATGTCATGCAAAAGAGGTTTTTCAAGCAAGTATATAAGAGTGGATGAACCGCCTGTCGCATATGATTAGCATTTTAGTATCACTCACTTTTAGTAATTTCGGAGTAACCGTGAAGATTTAATGTTATATCACAAAGATGGTTTCATAAGATGGAAATTATAAAGGATAATATTTATTTTTCTTATTCCTTACGTAACACGGTTTCATTATTACTGCCTAGCTATTCAATAGCATCAATTATTGTTGAAGAAAGTAAATAACGTAATTTCCATTGAAATACTTTTATAGCATTATAGCATTATAGATATTTTTTATATAATTTAAGAGTTAGAAATTATAATCTAGAGTCAACATTAAATATTAAATATTATTTTTTCGATTTTATAATTTGTATTATTGTATGTATATTTATGTAAAACAGAAATTTACGAATTATTGAATTATTGTATAGATATATTGAATATATCGTATTATGTATCAGGTAATTTTTCTCTTTGCTGGTTGATTATTGTTGTATAATTTATCCTTATCACGTTTATATTTTATTGTTTTGTGTAATGTAATCTACTTTTTTAAATTTAATCGAGTTCCTCTGTTTCCTCTGCGCTCACAAATTAACGCGATATCAAATTTGCTCAGTATTAATGGCGTAACATAACAGAATACGTGCATAAGCGTCGCAGCGATTAATTTATATAATTCTATGTCAGGATTTAATTTAATATTGCACTTGGATTCATTCATTCTAAATCTATTCTCAACGTTTAGCGTCTAATTGCATGTGTAACTCTGCTCTACAAAGCCG